GAGAGAGAGAGGGATAGAGAGAGAGAGAGGGATAGAGAGAGTGAGAGAGGGATAGAGAGAGTGGAGTGTATAGACAGATATACAGAGAGGGGAGTATATAGACAGATATACAGAGAGGGGAGTATATAGCCAGATATACAGAGAGGGGAGTATATAGACAGATATACAGAGAGGGGAGTATATAGACATACAGAGATGGGGGGTATACAGAGAGATATACAGAGAGGGGGGTATACAGAGAGATATACAGAAGGGGGGGTATTCAGAGAGATATAGAGAGGGGAGTATATAGACAAAGAATCATTAACAATATTGCTATTGTGCTGGAGTGTGTTTTAGAAAGGACTCAGATATATGTACTAAATAAATATTGACAGGCAAGATATACAAATAGAACTACGCTAAGCAAGTAATGGAAATTCAGCTCATAATGAGCAACTCGGGTTGCTTAGCAACTGAGACACATCAAGGACGGAGGGAAAGAGTCAGACGTAGCCTGAAGGGATGCCACACCCTCCCCAAATGACGTCACACGCCGCGCGAGCGTGGCGTTCACAGGAGGGTGGACGCATAAAAAGGATACAAACTTTCAGAGCAGGGAAGGGGGACGGAGAGATACATATAGATTGACACGGAGGAGGAAAGAAATACTGTTTTGTTTCACCATGGCTCAAAAGGATTACTACACCAATTGATGCGATTTTTCTAAAGGTAAGGGAATGTTGGGGGCACAATGGACTTTTTTGTTTAATGCGATGTGGATTCACACAAGCACTTAGATAATATAAATAGACTTTGATGCTATGGAGTGAAAGGTTTATCTGAGAAATTAAAACACATATATAGAGCCAATATATCGTGGCTATGCACAAACTATTAATATTGGAAGGATGAAGGGCTGGGGCAGAACACATGAAAATTAGTTTAAAATAGGTGGTAAACACTGGGTCAAAATACCGATATATGGAAGAAGGAGGGGAGTCACTTAACACCTGAAGAAACTTTGTAATTAAGACACTTACTTATATATACACACAGGGTGTGTGAGACCGCCTTGATATAACAGGGACTTAAAAGTGTAGGTGCTAACCATATGAGGTTTAATTAGGAATAGAGGAAAGGTATTACTAAACACACAGGAAAACTGAAATAACTACACACAAAAGGAAAGCTAACATTTAACCTAGACTAAGCACTCTAATCACTTTTTAGCACTGTGAAGCTGCACTAGACTCCTTATGTGTCTCTGGTTCCGCCGTGTGACACTCTATAGCGCTGATGAGGGAATCCCCATCACCCAGAGAGTAAGACCTCTCCAGGATCATGCAATCTTGGGACGCATAGTCGAATAGAAAGAAAGGTAAAACAATGAACTATCCACATGTATGATGTAAAAATACCCTGTTGCATATCTAGACCAAGAATTATAATGAAAATGTATATCATTTGGAAAAAAGGAAAAATGATGAAATATTTCTGTATATATACTGAAGAATTGAATGGTAAAATGATCAAATATATGCATTATAGATGAATAAGTGTTGATGGATAAATCTATATAAACAAGATATCCCATGTTTAAAATATAAATGTGAACTTACTATTGACAAATGAAGAATAACGAATACATTATACTGATTAATGGTAAATAAGGAACTATATGTACAAGTAGAAAATAGAAATAACTGAAGATTTTTGAGATACAATATATTATATGCTGATTTTTGATGTCATGGCTGAATACTGACTTATATTGTATTATATATGTGTTTTTCTTCAAAAAGACAGATTATTGCTGAAAATCGATAGACACAAAACAAACATATCCCCCTGAAGAAGCCGTGGTGGGCGTAACGCATAGGGGATTCACCTAATAACGATATACTTGTTAAGAACTATATGGAATATGTAAAATCTATATGAATGTACAATTTTGTAATATGGATTATAAGTTTATGAATCAGCAATAGCCGTTAGAGACAGCATTCTGACATTTGGAGAACTACATGAATGTCACTATAAGTGGATTGTTTTATATTGAACTATGGGATTTTTTATAATAATTCAAACAAATAAATAAATATTTATTTAGTACATATATCTGAGTCGTTTCTAAAACACACTCCAGCACAATAGCAATATTGTTAATGATCCTTTGTAACTCAATAATTGGGAGGTGTGGACTCCTTGGCTGAGGTTGGGAAGTGCTAGTACTGTATTTACAGAGTATATAGACAAATATACAGAGAGGGGAGTATATAGACAAATATACAGAGAGGGGAGTGTACAGACAAATATACAGAGAGGGGGGGGTATACAGAGAGGAGGGTATACAGAAAGGGGGTGGGGGTATACAGAGAGGAGGGTATACAGAGAGATATACAGAGAGGGGAGTATATAGACAGATATACAGAGAGGGGAGTATATAGACAGATGTACAGAGAAGGGAGTATATAGACAGATATACAGAGAGGGGGGGTATAGAGAGGAGGGTATACAGACAGATATACAGAGAGGAGGGTATACAGACAGATATACAGAGAGGATATAATGTAAAAGAAGATGGACAGAGGGAGACCTACAGTGAAAAACGTGTGATCTGCTTGTAGCCTCTCGATCACTGTATAGCAGCTCCTATTCATTAGAGTTTGCCGCCCACTATTTCTTGCTTCCTGGTCACATGTTTCCTGTGACATCACAGGGCAATCTGCGGAATAGGAACTAGCCGCTACCTTGTATACAGTCACAGGGAAAACGTTTCACAAGGACTACTTGGAAGCCTTATTACACAAGAAACCGTCGGTGTGTACTGTTCGGCAACACCGTCTGGTCACTTTTATACTTAGAGGCCAAGAGGGTAATTGCAAGAGCTTGGAAGTCCCCCGACATACCATTTGCGCAGGTCAAGCGTAGAGTATCGAAAGTGATGTTTTTTGAGAAGTTTACGGCTCTCCAAAGGGATACTTTGGGTGTCATTTCGGAAGCTGTGGGAACCATGGATTGAGTCATACCATCCTCCCTCCTTTGATATGGAGTCCTTGATCCTCTTACCAGTTGCGCTATAGTAAGCCTCTGAACCTTACAGTTTTTTTACCACAATGTTCTTTGTACTTATGCTATTTGCATGATATCCTTCTGGACTAGCTTACTTGATTGTAGCATTCTATGAAAGACTGATTTTGTATGTTCTTTTCGCTACATTACTGTACTTCACACTGAATGTGATAGAGTGATCCTTTTATTTGCGTTTAAAACAAATAAAAAAACTTTTTGAACGAAAAAAAAAAGAGTGGATTGGCTTCCTCTGGCTGGCAGGCAGGACATGGGTGGGGGGCGATTCCTTCTTCTGCTTCGCAGTCTTGGAGAAGGGAAGTCGGTGCTCCAGCTAATCAGACAAGAAAGAAATTATAGACATTGGAATAAAACCTATATTAGGACACAAAGACCAGACTGAGGCCTTGTTCACACAAAGGGTGTTCCAGGAGCAAAGCAGAGCAGTTACAGACCGGATCAAAACTGCGTCCAATGTATTCCAATGGTATTTTGGGCTCCAATTCACACCACAGCATTCAGTTCCAGAGCATGTAAAATAACTGCAGCAAGCCCTATTTTACCTGCTCTGGAATGCATGCAAACGCATCAAAAACACATGCAAACGCCCTGGAAGCCAATTTTAAACTTTAAAAAAATGATTTTTTTTTTAAATCCAACGACCCGTAACGCATCAAAAAACGCAGCACAACCCACTGCACTGCGTGTGCTGAAACTCGTGGCAGATCTGGTCTGCAGTTGGTGTGAACAAGCCCTGAGAGAGAGAGAGAGAGAGAGATCTAAAGCAACACACAGAGGCTAGAGAGGGAGACAGATCAACAAGCAGGCACAGACAGACACCAATAGAAAGATTACAGAATACTTTAGAAAGTTTACCCACCCTTAAAACCAATTTCAGCAGAAGCTTCTTTCTCCCTAGAACGGAACCGTCTTCTATGCTGTGTGGATGAGTCATCGGCTGGGCTCTGTCTTCTCTCAGCTGCTGCAGATACTTTCTGATCGGCTTCTGATTCCCCTACTGTGTTTTGTGCATGAGGGGGGCGGGGCAAGCTACTGCACTGTGAGAACGGAAGATCTCACACTAGGGGCAGCATACCCGACCCTGAGCAGAAACTTCACACAATACATTCTCACTGCACCATTACATTAATACAAAAAGTGGCAATCACTTACAAAGGTGGAAAGGAACCAGATCCTGGCTTGTCAAGAAATATAGGGGAAAAAAACCCTCCGCTCTACAGCTAGGCCAGAGGGGGATCCGTGACCTCAAGGCCAACCCGTCAGTAATAAAAGAACAAACGTGATGTGCAAACAAACGGGACGGTGGGAAACACAATCTGAACTGAGGTACGAGGGGAAGGGTAGGGGCTTTAAATTATTTTACAAAATTGTGTTTCCTGTAGAAGGTGGAACCAATCTCTCAGGTTGCTGTCCTGGAAGATGATTAGGGAAATACTGGTTTGATAAACATTTGCGCAAATATCGTGCAACATAAAAAATTGGAACTAGCATTTTTTTATTCTACAGCCTCTGCTTTCAGAAAATATATCAATGTTTGAAGCTGTTTTCTAGCCAAAAATTCATATTTTATCATGTGTGTGCAAAGAGAAAGAAATCGCTCCGGACAGCAAGTGGTTAATAATAGCTATGCATTCATGATGTTTAATATACCATACAAGTGAACAAAAAGGTAGAGATTTAGCAACTTTGTGTAGAAAAGTTTTATTTGTTATTAATGACAAAACAATGTAACTTTTTACATCAGGACAAGCAACATTAAGTCCCAAATCTTCGCTCACGCTTGGATGTAGCTCTTTGCAGTGTATGCTGTGTAGTATATCAAAATGCCAACAAGCGCAGCAAGTACCTCTGTAGATACCCATGGACCATTCCAGGCACCCTATTAAAAAAAAATAAAAAATTAAAAAACATTGTTTTCTCAAAAAAAGAAAAAAAACAAGCCATCATAACCTTAAGGTGCCCATAACCTGACTATTATTGTACGATCATAGCGGGTGATCCCGCTATCGTACGATAATCGGCAGGTCTAGCACGCTAGAAAACGCTAGTAGAGCGATCGCAAGAAGGAAGCCGCATGGGACGGTGTGTGCAACCGCACACTGCCCGCTCAGCATTGCAATCATCGGCAAGCCCTCCCCTCAGTGCAAGTACGATCTTCCTGTTCAAGATGGGCAGTTTGTACAGAATTTTAATCACCTTACAACCATCGCACAACGAAAGTCGAAGTGCGATGGTTGTACATTGTATGGGCAGCTTTAGACCAGAATTTGCCCTATGATTGTGGAGACACTATACTGTAACTCTAAAGCTGGCCATACAACTAGATAGTCGATTTCTTTTGTTCAGCATGCAGGGTCCCTCGTCAAAAGTGGATTGAGTCATCAATTTTTGCCGAGCAAGCAGGGCCAACCACTCTTAGAATGTTTGCAGATTCCTGTGATACAGAGAAAATTGTGTATGGCTAGATTTAGATCTGTTTGTAAGATGATGCCAATACACTAAGAACATGGCCTTTTTATGAACATAGGACTTTTGTCTAGTTAAGGCCAGAATAATATCTGTGGATACCCTATAGTTGCAACATACTCCTCCAGACCTTGGGTTGGAATCAGTCAGCTATGTTGACTATTTTGGCTAAGCAGTAATGACTTTCATTTCCATGAAGCTCTCTATGCACTGTTGATATGCCAATCTGAAGGCCACATGATGTTTAGAGGTCTGTAGCTATTGACTCTGCAGACAGTTGGCAACTTCTGTGCGCTGTGCCCTTCAGCATGAGCTGACCACGCTCTGCCATTTTTGGTGGCCTACCACTTCATGGCTAAGTTGCTGTTGTTCCCAGTTGCTTCCACTTTGTTATACTACCACTAATGCCCCATTCACACTCAGCGACATGAAAATCGAACGATTTTCCGCGCGATTTTATACGAGCGATATTGCGCAACGTCGCGCAACTTTTTCCTATTGGGCTGTATGCAATCAGGAGCAAAATCGCTCGAAATCCACAGAAAAAAGGGTCATGTAGGAGCGACAAGCTACAGCGACGAGCTACAAGCGATATTGAGCGGCGAGATGTGAACAGCTCCATTGAAATGGATTGGAGAAGCTACATAGAGCGATATCACGTGGAAATATGAGCGACATCGCTGCAAAAATCGCTCAGTGTGAATGGGGCATTAGGCCCCATTCACATTGAGCGATTTATCGCGCGATTTTTGCAGCGATATCGCTCTATGTAGCTTAACCAATCCATTTCAATGGAGCTGTTCACATCTGGCTGCTCAATATTGCTTGTAGCTCGTCGGTCCTACATGACCCTTTTTTCTGCAGATTTCGCTCCTGATTGCATTCAGCCCAATAGGGATAAGTCGTGGAAAATCGCACGATTTTCATGTCGCTCAGTGTGAATGGGAGCTAACAGTTGACCGTGGAATATTTAGTAGCAAGGAAATTTCATAAACACCTGAAGCCAATGATTTGGAGGGGTGTGCCAATACTCTTGGTAATATAGTGTGTGTGTGTGTGTATATATAATGTATATATTAGAAATGTCCCGATACCCCTTTTTTAAGACCAAGTACCTCCCCTCATGTACTTGCCGATACCAATTACCGATACTTTTTCTTAAAGGGACAGGTGACATTTAAAAAAAAACAATAGACTAATGATTTTAGGCCAATTTGTTTATGATTATGAAGAACTTTAAATTAAAGACTGTTTTAGAACAATACAAATTAATTTTTTTTCAATTTATTTTTACTTTGTAAACATTTTTAATTTTCATTTATTTTATTATTTTTACTTTATCATCTTTTTATTTTTTTTTTGTTACATTTTTAATCAGTTATTTTATGGCCAAGCCATTTTTGCATTTTTTGCAATTTTTTCCTATTGATTTGATTTTCAACTGCTGGGTTGCTAGCGTTTGTAAAAGACCCCCAAACCATATATTTTCTAAAAGCACAGGCCCGGTAGAGTAAAAAGATGGTGATACTACATTTGTAGGCCCTGCGATAATTGCGCAAATGTTTCTCAAATTAATATTAAACCGATAAAAATACACAATTCAATTGTTAAAACACACCAAAATCAGTATCCGTGCACAAAAAAAAATATTTTTTGACTAAATCTAAAAGATAAAACTGTATTGAGTTAATAAATAACAAATATTAGCAAATTTGTAATTGCGCCTTTTTGCGAAAAGGTAAAAAAATGAAGGTATGCAAAACTGTAAATAATCGACTTATGTAAAAAATTGTTTTGGTGTTTGTGTTGTGATAAAATGATACAGGTGTATATTTAATTGCAACACAAGGTATCACAACGCATGGCAATGAGTCACAAAGCTTTGCCATGCGCTGCCACAGTTAATTTAATGTTTTTTTTTAAAGAAAAAAAATAAATAAAAAAGATCATGCACTGCGATGCGTTCTAACAACGCACTGCAGCGCATGTGCATGGTGTGCACCACAATATGTGTGTGTTATGTGGGGGGAGGGAGGGGTTGTGCTTTTTTTTTTATTATTTTTTTTTACACATTTTTTCTTTTTTTTAAATAATTTTATTTTGTTTTACATTTTTTTATTTTAATTTTTTTAACATTTTTTATTTATTTTTTAATAATTTTGTATTTATTTTTTTTACTGTTGGGGGGGCTACGGTGAAATCTCTGGGGTCTAAACAGACCCCTGACATTTCCCTTTTGAAATAGAAAAAGAAATTGAGGACACCAAATCCTCAATTTCTTTTTCTGCAGCCTCAGCACTCAATGAATGGGAAGCACTCAGTACAGAGGCTTCCCATTCCATTCAGAAACTGCTGATAGTAAAATATTTACTATCAAGCAGTTTATGAATGGGGAGAAGCCTCCATAGGGAGTGCTACTCCCCATTCAGAAATTCATGAATGAACAGGCTGTGATGTAAATCACAGCCTGTTCATTCATAACTGGGGACACATAGTACTATGGGGGTTATTCACAAAGCTGCCGAAGGATCTAGCCATAGCTTCGGCTGATCCTTCGGCTAGCTTCGGCCCCAGGAACCCTTCGGTTGAGTAGAACCGAAGGGCTGCTGTACGGGCTATTCACTTGAGCCCGTACAGCTCCCGAAGTTGGCAGAGCGGCTCAGTCGAGCCGAAGACATATGCCTCGGCTCGGCTGAGCCGAGGTGAAAGCCGAAGCAGGAACGGCTGCCCGACAACCTGCTACTGACAGCTTGGCGGTGCCAACCATCATCTCACGGTTGGCTCTGGCCACTTGCATGCAGAGGCCACTTGCATGCAGAGACAGATCAGTGTCCCCTGCTTAGCAGCTAACCACGGACGCTGATGTGTCATTACACTGAGAACCCGGCGGAGCCGCTGTGATATCACGGCGGCTCCGCCAGGTTCTCAGTGTATGACGACAGTCCAGCGTCCCCTGGTTACCTAGTAAGCTTGTCGGAGCCGGCTTTGATATGACCGCCTGCTCCAACAAGCTCTCATTGTAATGAAAGCTGGTCCCGTGCAATAGAAAACAGTTGGGCGGAGCTAGCTGTCACTGCTAGCTCCGCCCAATCATGGTCTCCTTTTTTTCAACTTTTTCTATTCTGCTCGGTACCACAGAGGTACCGAGCAGAATAGCTGAGCCGAAGGGCGCTCTGCGGCATTCGGCTATTCACTCACTGCTGTTTGGGCCCTATGAGAATAGGCCGAACAACAATGAGTAGCCTGCTGGAGGTTCGGCTAAGCCGATGTTGGATTAGCTGAGTCAAACTCCTTCTGCACTTCGACCGACCCGAACCCATTCGCAACAAGCTGTTGTACAGCTGATTTCAGCCGGTGTACGGCTGAAATAATAAATTGGACAGAGGAATGGCTGTGGATATAGTATACTTGGACTTTGCAAAAGTGTTTGAATACTCTATACCTACTGATCTTAGCTTATACATTAGCCGCATGTGGGGAACTGTGTCAATCTGTAATTGGATAGAAAACTGGCTTAACCCCTTCGTGACTGATGACGTACAGTGTACGTCGCCAGCATCGGGGCTGTTTAAACAGACTCCCGGTGGCTATTGCTGTTTAAACTTGTAAAGCCGAATGTCGGCTTTACAACAGAAGCGATTCCGGCAACTTACCTGTCGCCAGATCGCTTCTGTGTCCTGTAAAAGGGGCCGCCCCCCCCCGCCGCGCTTCCCGGGCTCCGTTGCCCCTCCTACGGGCCCGGGACCGGCGTCCTTGGTGTCCACGGGGAGCAGGTCGACGAACTTCCGTTCATCGATCCCCTCCCCGTTCTATGGGACCGGGAGCGATGCAGATTGCATCACTTCCGGTCCCTGGGCTGTCAGTTCTGGGCTCCTGCAGCCCAGCTATAAGCTATTGAAGTGCGATCTGCACTTCAATAGCTTATTTCCAGTGTAAAGGTGACACTGGGGGTCTTTTGGACCCCCAGCATTACCTTAAAGAGTACCTGTCACCACCATCTGCTCTCACATGGGGGGGCTTGTAAGCCCCCCTATGTGATAGCAGTCAAAGTAAAGTAAAAAAAAAAAAAAGTTTTTTAAATTACTTTTTGCGCCTGGAGGAAAAGAGGTTTAACCGTTGCATACGGAAAGGATTCTTCACAGTTAGAGCTGTGAAAATGTGGAATAGACTCCCCCAGGAGCTAGTTCTGGCAAGCTCAGTTAATTGTTTTAAAAAACATCTGGATGTATTCTTAAATGCACAGAATATATAGAGAGAGGCCAGAGAGAGAGAGGCGGAACAAGGATTACGTCCGTCTCCCCGCTGCTATGAGAGGTTCGGACGGTGTGCAAGAGTAGGGTCTGGCTGAGCTGCAGCTGTGGATGGTTCGGCTCAGTCTGTGTGTGGACCGAGGCTTAGCGATGTGCCCGAGCC